TTCTGAGGAAGTTTTGTCACAAATGTTTTCAATAATCTAATTATTTTCATTACGAATACTTCATATGAAAATTGTGTAAAAATATTTCACAATAAAATCATAACTGATTATAAATATTCCCATACTTTACTTATTCTATTTTTAATTCCTTATTACAGTATTACCGTTATAAAAATATTGTAATTATCATTATAAGTCAATTAAAAATGAATAAAATTTAAAATATATTGTTATTAAAAGGACTTAATAATAATTAATATAATTAATTTAATGCAGCAGTCATAAAGTTGTAAAAGTTTTATTGATTTTTAAAATTTTCAAACATTTTGAATGTACAGTAAGAATAATTTATTGCATGAATTCCGGCAAATTGAAAACATTAATCATTTTAAAACATAACGACAATCTATAAAATACCCGTAGAAATAACAGTAATTTAATTATAGCTATAGTTTCATTAACTTAAATGTATGCATTTGTACTCTACTATTAAATTACAGTATAACCCAAATGAAATCATAAGTTATATCCAAAAAATAGTTATAATACCGTAATATTTATTGAGTAAATTAACGGTAAATGACAAGTAAAACAAATTAATTGGCATAAATTGTGATCAAAAATATGTATACAAATGTAAATTAGATTCAATTTTTCAAATCAATCAAATAATTGAGAAATTCTTTGCGATCGCAGGGTTTGAGCGAAAAGTACTTGATTTGTAAATCGCTGTACTTTTTGGTGACGGGTATTATGTCCCGATAGGACCAGTCGAACCACTCGTTGTTAAACTTAAACAATAACTTCTTCTTCAGATCCACAGTTTGTATGACATCTTTGGGTTGTCTTTGTTCTAACGGCTCATATGTCAAGTGAGTGAACACAACGATTCCTCTGATGGCAAACCATCCGCCATAACGCGGGTGAATGCAAACGCCTAACTGTCTGATTGAGGGGTCGGTGCTCTCAACCGCTTCGGATTTGTAATAAAAGGCAGCACCGGATACATGGGCTGCCGTCTGCACCAACACTTTGGGCCTTCGGTTCGGCATAAAGAGCTCGAAGTCATGGATCACTTCC